GGCACAAGGATTCATCGCCTCTCCTGTCAGTGGGGATACGGAAATACACCTTACCGACGCTGATCGAATGTGATCAAATACCCAACCATAGGGATGAGATTCCTACCCCAGAAGCTGCATTTCACCAACCTCACCTAAGGCACCTAGCCAACGTTATTCCCACCTATGGACATCAACGCCGAGATTCTACTCCTGCTCGGCAGAGACAATCTAAGGGTACACAAGGTGCGTCAACAGTGTAATGGTCCTGACTATGCACCATACGCCCAGAGACTGGACTTGGATGGGTAATCATAGGAAATGTATGCTTAAATCAACCAGTAAATCGACTCCTTCAAAACGTACGTGCAGTGCAAATGGACGCACAACTTGCATTAAGCCGTGTCCTCATCACTATGAGGTGAAGGAGAAGTCTCTCCAGGCCTCATACAACCACCAGATGTCATTACTCCCCTTTTTGCCGACAACTTGGGGAGATCAGTCTTTCATACAACCAAGGACGACGATAAAGTACCCTTGTCAGTAGAGGACAGAGAATTTGTCGAGATAATGAACAGTGAGTTCTTTAAAGAAAAACGAAACCAATCACTGGGTTTCTCCATTACCCTTCCGAGCTAACAGGGTAAGACTCCCGAACAACCGGGAACAAGCTCTGTCTAGATTTTAACTCTCTTCAGCGTACCATGAACAGCGAAGCCTGAAATGAGAGAACACATCGTCGCCTTTATGGATAAAATATTCCCGTAACAACACATGCAGAACCAGCCATCTCCATCCCTTAAGGAAGAACGACGAGTGCTGGTACTTGCCTTCAATTCGGAGTATATCATCCACGAAAACCTAATCAAATTAGGGTTTGTCTTTGATTCAAGCGCCAAACATCAAGGTGCATCTCTTCATTAACGATATTCTTCTCACAGGTCCTAATCTGACTACAATAACCTAGTCGTTGGAGTGCGCACTGATGAGATTCAGGAAAGAGATTGTCGCCATCACTGCTGACATTGAACATATGTTCCATTTGTTTTGTAGTCCGAGAGGACCACCGGAAATTTCCTCAGGTTTCTGTTGGTACAAGGGACAATGACACCAAACGCAGAGATGATGGAGTATCGTTAATGAGCATGGTACATGTGTTTGGAAACAGCCCTTCACCAGCCGTAGCGACTTACGGGCTTCGAGAGAACTGCAATAGAGGGGGAATCCTCTGAGTATGGTACAGATGCCAAAGACTTTGTTGGAAAAAAGACTTCTACGTGGATGACGGGCTCAAATCGCTACCAACTGAAGAAGCGGGCTATCGATCTGCTCAAAAGGACTCAAAATATGTTGTACCAAGCTAACCTTAGACTACACAAAATTGCTATCAAACAGCCTAACCGTAATTGCGAGCCTTCGAGCGAGGTGATCATGCACCTGGATTCAAAGACATTAAACCTGGGACTACTGGACAGTCCACCTGTTGCAGAGGAGCTTTGGGCCTCAGATGGGATCAACACTCGATGCTGACTCCTTTGGTTTTTCAAATAAGTTTGTGCAGACAAGCCATTCACAAATACGTGGTGTCCTATCAGTTGGTAAACAGCCTATTTGATCCGCTGGGATTTGTAGCGCCCATCGTCATACAAGGTAAATCCCTACTTGAGACAACTTTCTGAAACCATCAAGGATTGGGATACCCCACTTCCCTCCCGATAAAGAGCAAAAATGGTGGAAGCCTGGAAGCAATCTTTGTGTGCTTTGGATGACATCCATGCATCCCAAGATGCTATATTAAAAACTCACATTACTTCTAGCGTAAAGAAGAACTCCACGTGTTCTCGGACGCCTCACACACAGAGGCCATAGCAGCCGGTCGCCATATCTGAAGGTCACAGACCCAACAAGCAAAATCACGTTGGATTCGTCTTTGGTAAAGCTAAAGTAGCCCCAAGCCTGAATCAAAACTATTCCCAGACTTGAACTCTGTGGACACTGTATTAGCAGCTGGAGATTGCAGACTTCATACAAGAAGAACCTAGGTTGTACAAACATTAGATGAAGTTCAGTATTACACGGACAGTAAGGTCGTATTAGGTTACATCTACACTCTCTCAGACGAGCGAAACGATTTTATGTTTACGTCAGTAACCGCATAGAGAGAATCTCCAGGAGAGGTCCTCCAAACCTGAACAATGGTACATAAGTACCATCCGAAACTTAATCCAGCAGATCATGAGCCACTAGACCCTATGTCTGTAGGCTTCTCCATTATACTCTACTTGGCTTAACAGCGTCCGGAGTTTCCTGCTAAAACAGGCGGGACGATTGTGTACAGGAAGTTTTCAGATCATCCAGGATCCGGATAATGATCCAGAAATCCGCGCTGAAGTCAGTGTATTGGTCACTAGGGAACAAAGCAAATCTCCAGCCTCGGTAGCCAACGCTTTGAACATTACTCCAGTTGGATGAGACTCGTCAGACTATCGCAAGGTTAGTGCACATTGCAAATGTTATCACAATACTCACAAAGATAAGGATTGTCATGGTTGGGTTGGCACGTCTGCCATACAACCCTTCTCTGCGGAGAACATCTCTCATAGTGAGTCCCTCATAATACGTCACGTCCAACAAGAGGAATTCAATGTAAGAATAGGAAGTGCTTATACACAACAAACAGCAGATTCCAATAAAAAGCCCTCTTGTCAACTTAAATCCAGTTATTGACAGTTTTGGCTTGCTCAGAGTTGGTGGTCGTTTGAATCAAGCCCACCCTAAAAGTTGCAGAACAAAATCCTCCCATCATTCCCAGCAAACACCATATCACCGTCATGCTGATACCGACACTACCACCAAACCAACCTGAAAAAAGGTGACCTCGTGTTGATGACAGGAGCAACATACCGAACGGATTGCAACTGGCCTATGGGACTAATTACAAAGGTTCTTCCTATTCAAGGATGGCAAGGTTCGTAAAGTGGAGTTGACGAAGATCTTCAGAAAGGGTGAGCTTAAAATATTCGCAAGGCCAATTAATGAACTCATATTTGATACTACCCATTGAGTAACATTCCTGCTGTGTGAAACTCTACTGAACTTGAACTTTGTGGTTCTTCTCTATTCCAACTCGGAATCTATTTCTATATTGGTTATTGTGTTTTACTGCATTCTAAACATGTTCTTTGTTACAGGTTGTCTTATGATTTTATGGACATTCGTCATAGTGAAATCCCTTATTGGAAATTTCAGACGGGGAGGGCGGTGTGCTGTTCCCCTCATATTTGTTATTTAACTGTGCATTGTATTACCAATTCATATTTCACCATGTTTGTTTCTATGTCTTGATCTGTTGCTGCCATCTGCTGGCCAGAAATTTGCATGCTGCAAGCCTTTGTTTAATAGCTAGTAAGTGTTTTTCTCTGCTGGGTCGTGGTTTTAGGCAAGCCTTGGATTCTGGTCACTTCCTGCAGCCATTTTATCTGCTGTATAGCATGTGTGACAGGACATTCAATACCCTGGGCTTGTGAAGGCATCAGTTTTTGACCAGCAGTTAGCGCCTCAGGAAAGATTATAACAGGGACAGCTCATGAATACCTCTACTACCTTACAGTATTTAGTATCACTGTTTGTCCGCTGTATTTTGGACACAAATAAACCCACGCTGATTTCATTTCCTGTGTAAAGCGTTTGGATCCGTCTAACCTGAACATCTGCTACGAAGGGTTCCGGTCTGCCTACCACTGCTTGGATACGAAAGGTAGGAAGTTACACAGCCATTATCAGTTTACTTTCATTCCGCCTTCATGTGGGGACAGAACCCACTGACTGTTGGGGTCACCTCACATCAGGAGATTCTGCACTTCCGTCATTTATTATTGAAGGTGGAGTGAGCCACAACAACTGTGACACCCTGAGTGAGACACATGGATTACCAGCGGTCCTGACTGTGGGGTCAGCTCGCGCAGGAGGTTGCTGCACTTCCATCATTTATTATTGAAGGTGGAGTGAGCCACAACAACTGTGACCCTGAGTGAGACACATAGGATTACCAGCGGTCTGACTGTGGGGTCAGCTCGCCAGGAGATGCTGCACTTCCATCATTTATTATTGAAGGTGAGTAAGCCACATCAACTGTGACCCTGAGTGAGACACGTTGGAATTACAGCGGTCTTACATGGATTACCAGCGGTCTGACTGTGGGGTCACCTCACACAGGAGATGCTGCACTTCCCATTTATTATTGAAGGTGGGAGTGAGCCACAAAGGTGGAGTGAGACACAACAACTGGGACCTCGCGCTGCAAGAGATGCTGACTTCCACGCATGGAGCCACAACAATTGACCCTGTGTGAGACCATGGATTACCAACAGTCTGACTGTGGGTCACCTCACACAGGAGATGCTGCACTTCCATCATTTATTATTGAAGGTGGAGTGAGCCACACATTCAACTGTGACCCTTAGTTAGATTGCATGGCTCACCAGCGTTCTGACATGCTACAACTCAGCTTGTTTAACCACTTCAATACCTGGGCACTTATAAGCCCTTCCTGCCCAGGCCAATTTTCAGCTTTCAGCGCTGTCGCACATTGAATGACAAATTGCGCGGCGGTCATGCAACACGGTACCCATATGAAGTTTTTATCATTTTTTTCATACAAATAGAGCTTTCTTTTGGTGGTATTTAATCACCACTGAGTGTTTTATTTATTGCTAAATAAAACAAAAAACACCTGAAACTTTTGAAAAAAGATGCACTTTTCTTTGTTTCGGTTATAAAATTTCGCAAATAAATAACAATTCTTCATAAATTTAAGTCAAAACATATTCTGCTACATTTCTTTGTTGAAAATAATGATAATAATTGCATTTATATTTTTTTTTTCAAATGTTTCTATTAATTTTTTATTTTTTTATTACATTATTTTTTTTTTTTACTATTTTATATTTCAGCACACTATGACCAAAGCAATACAATGTTACCATAGTAACATTGAACTACTCTGGGTAAGTGATCAGGATTTTTTTAACACATTGTGATTGCTAATACCAATGTATTTCATTGATATTTGCAGTCATTGTTACTGAATGAAACTGATTTATTCAGTCTTTTGTTGTGATTAGCTGTGATTGGGCACAGCTGATCACATGATACAGATGGGCTGTGATTGGGCCCTGTCTGTATCATGTGACTGGCCCTGCCTTGACCAATCACAGCTTACAACATAATTGTATACAATGGATGGCATGACAGGAAGCCATCCATTGTATACAATTGACATGTGATCTGCTGTGATTGGTCACAGCGGTCACATGACACTGGCAACGGGCGGTGTAGTGATATGTCATCGCTGTGTCCCGTGGACACAGCCTGTGACAGATCGCACCGCTGCAGCTGTGTCACAATGGCAATAATCTGCTAAAGGCCAGGCAGGAACGTGTTAAAGGCACAGTTCACCTTTGCCAAAAAAATTGTCCATGAAGAGAGGGGGTGTTTGTGGACAAAAACAAACTGTACAGCTTTGACTAAAACTGAATAATATCCTTGCTATAGGTGTAGGCCATTTACATACCTCATGAAGCCTGACTGGAAAAACTCATGGGACGTTGCTAAGTGCGTTGCTAAGAGACGCCTAGCTGTTACTGCTCACCTTTACCATCAGAGGAATGAGTGCTTTCCCTGATTCAAACCCCCTCACATGCACTTTCTTTGCTCTGATGCATTAGCTCTGAGTTCAGCGTTTGAAAGCTCACTCCTGTCCTGTGATGGCAAAGATGAACAGTAACAGCTAGGAGTCTCTTAGCAACATCCTAGGAGTCTTCAAGTCAGGCTTCAGGAGGTACTTTAAAGGGCCTACACCTACTGCAAATGCATTATCCACCTTTGGTCAAAGCTGCAGTTTGTCTTTATCTACAGACACTTCTTATCTACATAGACAGTTTTTTTTGTAAAGGTGAAATAACCGTTTAATCATAACTCTACAGAAAAAAATAAATTCTGTTCAGTCAGTCTTGTGATCCAATTGCAAGAAAACCAGCCAATTGCCATCAACATTTTGAGGTACATGGGCTGTGTGCTGGCTACTTCTTGTAATTGAGCTACAACTTGATGTCACAAGCACCCCAATATTGAGTGTATTGGTATACTGCTGGATGGTTTTCTAGTCTTGTGATCCAGTGACCTGACTTTTCACTACTGCAGTAAATCCATACAGCACTGACCTGCCTCCAGACTACATTCTCCCCCTCCCTTTATTCTGACCCGAGCTGTTGTAATAGTGACTTATCCCATCCTGAAACTTCTATGCTTCCTCCTGCTTGCAGCAGACTGATGACATCATCTCAGTCCGGGCACAGTCACTGAACTGAAGCTGAAGGATGGCTTTTTATTTTGTAAAATGACAGCTTTAACCACTTCCCGTCCGGCCCATGTATATAAACGGCCAGACGGCGCAGGAGCGGGTTGATGTTTATAAACGTCCTGCTTCCCTTACTGTGCGCGCTCCCTGTGCCTGTACGGGACTTCTGTGTGAGGCCCCAATTATGTGATCACTGATTGGCAAATTAGTGATCACATTAATAGTACTAAGCAAGATGTCACTTCTGACATCATTGCTTACTACTATTGAAATGTGAGAATGATCACAGAAGTCACATGGTACAAGGCTAGTCACAACAGCATTGTACCATATGACAAGTTGTGACCAATCACAGCTCACACAGCATTTCTCAATGGCTGCAAGAATGCAGCCAGAGAGAAGGAGAAATGATTGCTTTTACAGCCTTTACGGGTGTAAAAGTAATCAGCGTAAAAAAAAAAAAAAATCTTCATCACCCCCACAAGTAGTACAGTGTCATTATGGTGACACTGTACTGCTAGGGTGACAGTATGTAAATAAAAAAAAACATAAATAATAATATAAAAAAATAAATAAAAATGTCAAACATTTTTTGAAAAATTATAATTTTTGGTTATAAACTAATTTGGGTTATTATTTTTTTTTTTTACAAAAAATATAGCTGAATACATTTTGGCCAAGATTTATGAAGAAAGATTATTTATTTGAAAAATTTTATAAAAAAAACACTTTTTTTTTCAAAATGTTTGGACTTTTTCATTTATATAGCAAAAAAATAAAAATCCCAGTGGTGAATGAACCAAAATAAAGTTTTATCTGTCTCAAAAAAATGCTAAAAAATTCATATGGGTACAGTGTTGCATGACCGCGCAATTGTCATTCAAAGTGTGATAGAGCTGAAAGCTGAAAATTGACTTGGACAGGAAGGGGGTGAAAGTGTCCAGACTTGAAGTGGTTAAAAAAAAAAAAAGATACCGTTGCTGTATATTGTGCTATGTGATATATATATATATATATATATATATATATATATATATATACTGCGTATGCAATGTATATATAAATAAAGCAATCTCCTGTGAGCTGAAGCTTGGAATCCACAGGCGTGATTATTTGTTGTAAATTGCCTTCAGCCATTCTGAGACTTGTGGTTCTTCTGCCACTGAATAGCATCTTGTGGCTTTCTGTGAAGTAAACCCTATGTGAGCACGCAGATGGGAGTCTGCACAACAATCCCTTTTTCTTCTTCTTTTTGCACAAGTTTGGCCTATGTGATATAATTAGACTCCCCGGGGGAAATGTCAAGATTGCCATGACGTGGCTGACACAGACGGGGAATTGAAATCTTGTTCTATCCACCAAAACAAATATATATACAGACCCCCCATTGTCTCCCCTATGAATAACACAAAATCAGTCAGATCCGTCTGCTCCATTACTGGGGCTCGCACAATGGAGCTGTGACAGGAATTCATTCGGATCTCTCTTATGTATGTTACAGCTTTCTGAAAATTTGAAGGGGACTAGAGTCTTCTTGTAGTTTTTTTTTTTTAAAAATATATCACAGTTATTCCAGATGATCAGTTTTTAGCGTTGGTTCATCTCTGTTAGCTGGTGGTGCCTATAATTTTAGCACCGATTAAGTAAGTATCAATTTTGTTACTTTGCTTTTCAAGGGTAAGTTAGCACTGGAGTGTTATTTAAGGGTTAACAAGAGTGTTATTCAAATCATTAGAATTATTATATATAATCCTTAGAATGTTAATGTTACGTTAAAACTAATTTTCAGTCTTTTTAAATCTGCAGATTTTATTAAAATAATCTCTTGTGATCCTGCCCCAGGTTCACATACTTCCTGTTTTAGGGTGACAACTCTCTGACCCTGTCTCCCAATTGTTCTCCTGTGTTGTCACCCTGTCACACAGGCTTCAGACATAGTCCCAAAAATCAGGGAGAATGGAATTGGGGAATCCACGTACAATGTGTAAAAGTGGAGGTGCCATCAGACACATGGTAATCCTGCATGACAGAGGACTCTACCTCCCCGAGATATCAAAAGGGAACCCTCAGGGATGAACCAAGGATGGAGTCGGTCCACTGGGACTAACCTGACCCGACCCAACCCTCCAACATCCAACCCCTGACCCAAACCACCCCACCAGCCCTAACCAACCATCCAATACCCCCACAAGTAACCCCTCCCCTAGATGGAGGACCCTCACATACCGCCACCACCCCTCACACAAAGGAGAGAGAGGAGAGGAGCTGAGGGAGATAATACCAGCCCATTAATGCATATGCATCATTTCTTGATTTAGGTATTGCTATGATATGTTATTATTTCCAATTATTGGGTTGTATTCCCTTTTTGTTCCTATCCACTGTTTATGGTGCATAATAAATTTCCTTTGAGGTTAGCCTTTTAGGTGTGCAGTCTTTTTTCTTCTTCTCCTTTTGTTTTTTTTCATACCACCATCAAGAAACCCACTCTGAGAAATACAGATCAGCCATCACTGAAGTGTAGGTAGATAGGAAGTGGCTGCATAGAGACTACAGGAGATCAACAGTACTGTAATGTAACAAAGAGTAAAAAAAAGGATTTTATTTAAGACATGGTGACTGTATACAACTCACAGAGCACAGATAAAATATCTATTTTAACTCCTTTCTGCCAACTGTATACCAGGGGCAGACTGACAAGTCATGGGGCCCCCGGGCAATAGGGGATCATGGGGCCCCTGTGTCCTTGCCCAAACTCAAAAAAGCCTATAAAAAAGGTACCAGGGGCATCTCATGGGGCCCCCTACTGGCAGCGCCCGAGTTTCCAATGGTCAGTCCACCCCTGCTGTATACACATATGCAGCCTCACGGAAGAGGGTCTTTATCCGTTGGGCTGCATATATATGCATACCTGTTTGTTCTTGGAGCGCACTCCACACCGCACTCCCAGCACAGAGGCCAGGCTCTCACTGAGAGGCCTGGGTCCTGCACTAACAATCAGGAACCAAAAATCACCTGATCGCTGTGATAACCTCTGATTGGCTATCACAGCGATCAGTCACTGTACAGCCCATTCCTGTGTTTTTTCTTCTCATGAATGGTGAAAAAAAATACATTTGATATTTTTTCTCCTTTTTAGAGGAGAAAAGTTTAAACAAACAAAACTGTATAAAAAAAAAAAAAATTTGTTAGATCAGTGTTTGATCCAAGTCCGGGTTAAAGTCAACAGTCATGGTCAGTCAAAGGTCAGGGTCAATGGCCAGGGTCAAAGGTCAGGGCCAGTGTATTTTGGATAGGATTTTAAAAAAAAATTAAATTTAATTCAGTGTCAGTGTATGTTAGATAAGATAAACATGCAAAATATGCACTATTGTTTCTGGGCCCTACTACAGGTACAAGCCTCCAAAAACACATGTTTTGTATTGCTGCAATCATCAGGAGAAGGGGAATTTATTTTGAATTGTTTTTAGGTGGTAGGTTATGGTAATAGCGAGAGATATACAGCTAAAGTTTCAAAAAAAATATTATTTTGGCCAGTTTTCCTTTGATAATAAGAAAAAAATCAGATTACCATTTACCACCAAAACAGTCCAATTCGTCCTGAAAAAACACAAGGTATAATTCACCTGGATATACTAAGTAGTTGCAATGATATGTACAATTTTACTAACACAGGTCAAAGTTGCAAAACTGTGTTCAGAGATTAAGATTTGTTTTACCTTCATCATGAAGGGATTAAGCTACAGTTAGCCTAAAATCACCATACACATTACCTTCTGATTGCATCTACCAAATTGTGTAGTGCAAGAGCCTGCCTGATTGGATACAAAATGATTGGTTAAATTAGGTAGGTGCTCATATTATAGCCTCATAGTCTAAGTAAATCTAAAATTGATTGTATAAAGTTTGTATGGTCAATTTGTAGCGTGTACTTATATGTGTGTGTGTGTGTATATATATATATATATATATATATACACACACACTATATTGCCAAAAGTATTGGGACGCCTGCCTTTACACTCACATGAACTTTATATTGAGTTGGCCCACCCTTTGCAGCTATAACAGCTTCAACTCTTCTGGGAAGGCTGTCCACAAGGTTTAGGAGGGTGTCTATGGGAATATTTTACCATTCTTTCAGAAGCACATTTGTGAGGTCAGGCACTGATGTCGGACGAGAAGGCCTGGCTGCAGTCTCCACTCTAATTCATCCCAAAGGTGTTCTATCAGGTTGAGGTCAGGCCAGTCAAGTTCCTCCACCCCAAACTCGCTCATCCATGTCTTTATGGACCTTGCTTTGTGCACTGGTGCGCAGTCATGTTGGAACAGGAAGGGCCCATCCCCAAACTGTTCCTGCAAAGTTGGGAGCATGAAATTGTCTAAAATCTCTTCTTATGCTGACACCTTAAGTATTCCCTACACTGGAACTAAGGGGCCAAGCCCAACCACTGAAAAACAACCCCACACCATAACCCCCAGACCAAACTTTACACTTGCCACAAGGCAGTCAGGCAAGTACCGTTCTCCTGGCAACCACCAAACCCAGACATGTCCATCAGACTGCCAGACAGAGAAACGTGATTTGCCATTTCAGAGTACACATCTCCACTGCTCTAGAGTCCAGTGGTGGCGTGCTTTACACCTCTGCATCTGATGTTTTGCATTGCACTTGCTGATGTAAAGCTTGGATACAGCTGCTTGGAAATCCATGCCATTAAGCTCTCTACGCACTATTGTGCTAATCTGAAGGCCACACGAAGTTTGGAGGTCTTTAGCTATTGACTCTACAGACAGTTGCCGACTTCCTCACACTGTGCGCTTCAGCATGCACTGACCCCGTTCGGTCATTTTACGTGGCCTACCACTTCATGGCTGGGTTGCTGTTGTTCCCAGTTGCTTCCACTTTGTTATAATATCACTAACAGTTGACCGTGGGATATTTAGTAGCAAGGAAATTTCATGGATAGACTTATCGCACAGGTTGCAACCTATCACGGGACCACGCTTGAATTCACTGAGCTCCTGAGAGCGACCCATTCTTTCACGAATGTTTGTAGAAGTCTGCATACCTAGGTGCTTGATTTTATACACCTATGGCCATGGAGGTGATTGGAACACCTGAATCCAATGATTTGGAGGGCTGGCCCAATGGTTTGGGGGGGGGGGGGGGGGTCCCAATACTTTTGGCAATATAGTGTGTGTGTGTATATTTATATATGTTTATTTATATTATTATTATTACTTTTATTATTTTT